AGCTGCGTGCACAGGAGCACGCGGGCAGCCAGCAGCACCTGCAGAGCCTAGAGGAGGAGGAGGAGGATGAGCAGGAGGACGAGGAGGAAGACGAGGAGGATGAGGAGGGGGGGGAGAGTAGCACTTCCGCCGGCAGCTCCCCCACCATCCTGCGCAAAAGCAGCAACAGCCTGGACTCCCAGCACTGTGCCTCAGAGGGCTCCACAGGGACCCTGGCCATAGTGGTGCTGGAGCCCTCTCCTGCCCCCCTGCCCCCCAGATGGATGTGTACTGCTTCCTCTTCACGGACCTGCTCTTGGTGACCAAGGCAGTGAAGAAGGCTGAGAGGACCAAGGTCATCAGGCCACCACTGCTGGTGGACAAGCTCGTGTGCCGGGAGCTGCGGGACCCTGGTGAGGAGCCCGCCCCCTGCCCCTGGGCCAGGGCTGTGATGGGCAGGGCAGGCAGAGGTCTTGGCGGACACTGACTCCAGCCCTTCCTGAGCAGGCTCCTTCCTCCTCATCTACCTGAACGAGTTCCACAGCGCTGTGGGGGCGTACACGTTCCAGGCCAGCGGGCAGGCCCTGTGCCGGGGCTGGGTGGACTCCATTTACAATGCCCAGGTGAGAGAATGCCGGGCGGCGGGTGGGCAGGCGGGCGGCCTGGTGGGGCTGCGGCTCACAGCCCACCTGCCCCTGTGGACGCCGCCCCCGCCTGCAGAACCAGTTGCAGCAGCTGCGTGCACAGGAGCACGCGGGCAGCCAGCAGCACCTGCAGAGCCTAGAGGAGGAGGAGGAGGATGAGCAGGAGGACGAGGAGGAAGACGAGGAGGATGAGGAGGGTGGGGAGAGTAGCACTTCCGCCGGCAGCTCCCCCACCATCCTGCGCAAAAGCAGCAACAGCCTGGACTCCCAGCACTGGTACGCTTGCCCAGGACCCCCAGCAGGCCCGGGCAGGGCAGGGCAGGCGCTGCAGCCTGGGGCTCCTGACCCCCAGGCTGGGCCCAGCTCCAACGCCTTTCTCTGAATGGCTTCACGCTGTGAACCCAGCAGGGAGCGAGTGTGGGTTCTGCCGTGGGAGCACCAGAGTCCGGGCGGGGCTGGCAAAGGCTTTTCAACCTGACGCCAGCTCGGCTTCATTAGTAGCTGCCTGGAGCGAGCTGAGGGCGCTCAGGCTGTGTCCCACGGGAAAGAGCCCATGATGGAGACGGATGCCATGCTGATGTCCGCTGTGGGCACAGGCGCTGGGGGATCTGGGCTTATGCCATGGTGGCCATCTCTGAGCCTCAGGCGGGCAGGGCCAAGGCTGTGGGCCCGTGCTGTGCCCAGCCGGGGCTGTGCGGGGTTCCTTTGCCGGGACTGACTCCCTTCCCGGCCCGCAGCGCCTCGGACGGCTCCACAGAGACCCTGGCCATGGTGGTGCTGGAGCCCAGGGAGACGCTCTCCTCTCCCGAGTTTGAGGGTGGTCCCTTCAGCTCCCAGTCAGATTGGATGTCCCCCAGTACCACCGCCTCATCTATCACACTGACCAGCGAACTGCTGGCCCTGGGCCCCGGGAAGGGCAGCTCCTGCTCCATGGACTCTGCCTACAGCACCCTCTCCCCCACCTCCTTGCAAGACTTTGTGACCCCAGCCCCTATGGTGGAGCCAGTGCCCCGGCCCCTAGATTTACCACAGGCACCCCTGTCCAGCTGCTGCCCCGCCTGCCCTACCTGCTCAAGTCCAAATCTGAGGCCAGCCTCCTGCAGCTGCTGGCAGGGGGGGCCCCCCACCACAGCCCCTCTGAACTCTCCC